ATTCTAATAGAGGGGCATCCTATTAAACATCTGATGATTATTCCTCCAAACTATCACTGACATCAGTCTGAGAAACTGTCATGGGTGGGGGGGGCTGCCTTAGGAGACATGAAACTAAATGACATGTGCTATCCTGGATGGAATCCTGGAATAGAAAAGGGATATGAGATTAAAAACAAGCAAGTCTAGTAAAGTATGGACACTAGCTAGTCATAATTTCCCTTAATGGTGACAAACCAAATGCATGATGTTAACAACAGAGCAAATCGGCCGATGGGGTATATGGGAATTCTCTCTATTATCCTCACTAAAATGATTTGAAAATATGCATTTTAAAATGCTGCCAAGCAGTCAAAATCCACTGCTGTCACTCTGAGCCATGGCTTGCAATTCCCAACTCGTCCTCCACCTCTGACCTGTGGGGAGATGGATACTCATGTCCTTCAACAAGCCAGCGAAGCACCTTCTGGTTGGTCTCAAAGCACTGCTCCTGGATTACTTCTCTATCAGAAAGAACAGGGCAAACCATCTCCCAAGACCCAGTGAAAACCGTGTTATGTCACGGATACCTGAAGAAGAGCCCCAGGTCCCGAGCTCGGGCAGCTGTGCAAGGAGGGTTTGAGCATGATCTACCTGGTGATAATTTATGAGCTACACACAGTTTCCCATCAGCCGAGCAGTAGAAGCAGATGACTAAATAAACCTGCAAACTGCATCTGCTGGAAGGGAGAAGGAACAAATAGAGAGCTGGGCAAACACGGAAGATCCCTTCCCAGAGGACATAACACGCAGCAGAACTTAAATGGGAACATTAAACAAAGCTATAAAACCAATGGGCGTAAAGAAGACAGAACTCTGTCTGCTTCTCCTCCAGCTCCGAGAACATGCTTCTCCAAGAGAGAAACAACTGGACGAAAAACAGAAGAGCGGATTGAAGACACAGGAGAAATTAAACAAGAGGGGAAAAAAAAGAGACAGTTGAGAGCCAAAAAGGAGCATTGAAAAGTGAGAGATGGAGAGAATGATACGGATAAAGATATTATTCAACCTGTTAGGCTACAGGAAGCCACGTGACAGGAAGTGGAGCCGGGGCGTCGCCTGGGTTGAATGGAAGGAGCGGCCAATTCAGAGTCCCACTTAAAACATTCCTTAATAAGCACCACCTGATAGCCCAGTCGCCCCAACCAGAAAGCCGGAAGTCTCCTTTCCTGCCTGGCCACTCTGCCCAGCTGCTCCTCTCTCATAAACGCTCTCGACTCTGATGGGTCAGACACTGTGGGCTGACATCTGCGGAGCCCAGGCTAGCAGTACCCCTGCTCTGATCTGAACCCGGGTCTGCCAAGGCCCTAGTCACCCAGTGGAAGACAGGGCGGTGCCTGCCACCCAGCGACACAGATCCAAAGCCGAGCCCCTGCCAAATCAGCTGTATTTTCACATTTCTATAACTGCTTAATTACCGTCTGTTTATATGGGAGGAAGGGGGGAGGAAGAGAAGAAAAGAAGTGGCATCCCTTCCCCCACCACCTAGCAATCTAGGCCTCCAGAAAGGGGAAAAAAAAAAAAGCATTTCAATTCTGACTGGTACAGTTTGACCCTGGTATCAGTTTACCCATAGAAACAAAGTATAAACAGCAATTAGGTGTCTAGGGCTACTAAACAGACTATGTATGTAATTAATAGTGCAGCAATAAATAGTACTCACCGTTCATTGAGCACTTACCAAGTGCTAAGTACTATGTTAAGCATTTTTTATGGCTACCTGCCAGGTAGCTATTACTTATCACCATTGTGCAAATGAGGCCACTGAGGCTCAGAGGGGTTAAGTCACTCGCCCAAGGTCACCCAGATAGTTGTGGTGGAGCCAGAAGCCAATTCTCTTCATAAGTCCAAAGGCTACCGCATAACAGGTGCAACAACCTAAGTGCCATTTATGACACTGATTCATAGGAAAGGTGCTAATTGCTCCAAACAATCAGCTAACAACAAAATAAACCTCTAAAAGTCATCTGGTTGGCAGGTTGGAGACCACCTGCAGGGGATTATGAGAAAGGCAGCTGAGGATGTGGCTGCCAGGACACACCCACTCACAGTGACTGAGCATCTGCTTGCGCCCCGACTGTCAACACTGGATAGGATTCCAGGACACCCTGAAAGCAGGTGCTTCTGAGAGCAGCCACTGATCTGGGAGACTTCCCGGAGATGCTCCCATTCATACCAGAAGGGAGATGGTCAGCAGACAGCCACAGGTCCAGACAGCAAGGAGGCCATGTTAATAGAAGAGACAGGGGCTCGAGAGGATGCTTAGTGACAAGGGAGAGTGCGTGCAAGGACACTCCACAATTCTAAGGGGAACACGAGGGTGAGCCGTGCTTCCAGGAGCCTGGCAGCAGGAGCCGCGGGCCCAGCACGTGAGCACACAGAACTCAGATCCATGAGAAGGAACGGTGGGCTTCCAGCCCCACCGGGGAACAGCCCGGGCATCCTCACTCCCTTCCTACAAGACAGAGGCTGAAACTGGGAAGGAGCTGGCTGCTTTCAGGACCACCCTGGGAATGCAATGAGATCATGGATGTGGAAGCACTTTTTCAACTGCAGTAACTGAGAGAACTAGGTGGCATCAAAACCATATTTTCCGGAGGCTTTGGTTACGCCATCTCTGATATTTGGCGAGTACAAAAAAACAGTGCAAAAGCAGGTGGGTCTACCATGAAGAGGCTCCAGAGCAGATGGAGCAGATTCCAGGAGTGGTGAGGAGCTACCTCTAAGCCCACCGGGGCTAGCTGGGAGTACGTCAAGAGGCACTGGCCTTTTTCTTTTCCTGGCAGCACTGCGGAGCTGGGAGGTCAAAGAACTATAATCTCACTGCTGGCTTCCTGGAAGATATCAAGATAGCAGCAGCTTTGTTTTTTTTTGTTTGTTTGTTTTTTTTGCTTTTTTGCTTTTTTTTTTAAATGTCTTTGACTCCATGAACAAAACGTTTTCCAAGGACCCACTGCATGGAGGCTCCATGCCGGGTCTTGGGGCAGAAGACGGCGCAGCAGCAGCAGGAAGACAGGAACACACCACACCACCTCTCCCCCAAGTGGGGCACAGAAGTGGCTGGAAATCACTACTGCAGGGCTGGTGGCATCAAAGACTAAGGGAAGGAAGCATCTGCCACTTAGTGGCCTAAAACAACACACATTTGTTTACTGTATTGGGGGACAGAAGTCCTCTAGGTTAAAATCTACGTGGCAACAGGGCTGCCTTCTTCTTTCTAGGTACTTTAAGGAGAAATTCATTCCCTTGCCTTTTCCACTTTCAAGAACTGTCTGCATTTCCTAGTTCCGGGACCCTCCCTCCATCCTCCAAGCCAGCAGCACAGCATCTTCTGACTTTGCTTCTCTGACTCCTGTCTCCCTCTTTCTCTGACAGGGACCCGTCCTGACACCGGGCTCACCTGCATAATCCAGAGAATCTCATGGTCTTGGAGTTCTTAATTTAATCACATCCCTTTCACCAAGTAAGGCGATATTCACAGGTTCCAAAATTAGGATATGGACATCATTGCTCTCCCTGCCACGTAAGTAGACAGGGTAAGTCAGCCTCCAAAAAGGGGGAAAAAAGGAAATTAGCATTCTGAAAGATGCAGTGAGGAGATGAGATCTTTTTTTTCAGCATCTCTAGTTGGAATTTCCTGAAGACCCTGCCCTTGGGTTCCTTGAGACCCATTCACCTGCTGTCAGTTTCCTACAGGATAGTCATTCTGCCCTGGCGCAAAACCACATACCCAGTGGGCACAAGATTTACACACAACCCCCCCACCCCGAACCCCGCGCCTCATCCTCTGCCTCTCTCATCCTATGGTCTATGCCCTAAACCCAGGAAACACAGACAATGCATTGTTGGGGCATTAAGAGGTCAAACAGATCAGCAAACTGTACCGATGATGGGTCAAGCTAACAAGATGAAGTTTAATTTCATTAACTCATTTTGTGTCATGGAAGGGAGAATCGACAGCTCTATAGAAATGAGCTACCTGACTGCAGGATGGGTGAAACACAGAAGCAAACCTTGTCTTTCTCCTTCTTGGTTTTTGTTTTATACAAGGCTTGAGGGATCATAGTTGACAGCAAATAGTTCACTGTGAGATGACTGTCAAAGATCATGCGGTCTCTGGAAATTATATTCCTCTATTCAACAGGGCAGGCCAGTTAGAAATACTGTAGGTCCCCCTCAAATCAAGAATACCCCCCAACTTTCTCAGAAGTATGCCTTTTCACCCAAAGACACAGCCTGAGGGGAACCTGCAGGGAGTATTGAGACGCTGGGGCCACCACCACCAGCCAGCAGCCACACTAGGCAGGTGAAACCCCCTCATGGGCACTGTCAGGTGCCCTCCCTAGTGATTTCAGGGCCAGCCAGCAAGAGGCTGGTTTAAGAAAAGTGGCCAAGATGGCTTCAGGACTGAGAAGCTAAAAGGAGGCACCAGGTACAGAAGTGGGAACAGGGCTGGGGACACAATAAACTGCCGTCAAAGGTACATACCAGAGTCGCTGTTGTGTGAAAAGGGGATTAGACTCGCTCTGTGTGGCTCCAAAGGTTAGAACAAGGAACAATGAGTAGATGTGCCAAGGACACAAATTCCAATTCAATCTAAGTGGGAGGGGGTTCTTAACAGCTAGAGATGCCTAAACACGACACAGGCTATTTCCGGGGACAATGAGGAAGGCGTACACAGCGGGGAAGGGGCTCCCGGGTCTGCCCCTTGATAAGGGCAGGTGCTCCCAAATCTGAGAGTCAATGATTCCATCTCCAATTTACTCAGCAACAATCCATTCACATACACAGAGAAACCATCCAGATAATCACAACAGCCCAGGAGTATTTACAAGAAAGGGGATAACAGAACAGCCAAAGAACAAAGTTTTCTCCAGATCTTATCCTGCATGTTTATGTGGACAGAACACTGGCTTCAGAGTTTTTTTAAAGGTCTCTTCACTGAGCAAGGTCACTCCTACCTGCAGCTGGGGAGAGGGTGTTCCGGGCCAGCCTGACATCCACTGCCTGAGAGACTCCAGCCTGCATCAGAAACAATGGAGGAGGCACATTGCGGACAGCAGGCAGATCCCAATACAAACTCAAAACCCACTGCAGCCCTCTAGGTAGAGGAAGGAAGTCATCCCAAAGAAAACCTCGGGGTGTCACACAGAAAGGCAGTGATTTAGTGTGGCCAGCCAGAGAAACACAGAAAATATGAAGCCGGGTGTAATTTTCCCAAGAAGCACTTGATACTCCTCGTTTAAAATTATTAACCTCTCAATAGGCAAGAGGTGAAAAGAAGCAGGAAAGCTCTCCAGGAGGTATTACTGCAAGATAATTTTTAAAACTCCAGAGAAGCAGAGCCAAAGAGCAATGAAACCATCCACATCAGAAAAGAAAATTAGTGAACCTGAATAGTATGTGGCCAAAAAGCCAGAATTAGCTAAACAGTAAGCTCCATGAAGGCAAGGATAGCCAGATGTAGGTTAGGCTCCCCAGTGAGAACACAGCTGGTTAATAAAAGATCACAGGAGTGGGGCCTCCCTGGTAGCGCAAGGGGTTAAGCACGGCATTGTGAAGCTATCCGCAGCCTCTGCAGCACAGTTCCGGCCAGGGAGGTGACCCACATGGCGCAGCAGACCTCTCCTGTCTTGCCCGCTGCTCCCCTCAGCAGTGTATTTCAGTTGATCTCCCTGTTCTGTTCCCCACTGTCTCCAGTGAATCCTCTCACCCCGCCCCCTACACCTTTAGCCTGTACCCCAATTCTTGTATGCATAAATCTTTTTTTTTTAAACTGTCCTTGTCTTATTGCATATTCTTTGCTCCTTTGTCAAAGATTAGTTGTCCATGTATGTGCGGCTTTATTTCTGGGTTTTCTATTCAATCCCATTGGTCTGTGTGTCTGTTTTTGTTCCAGTACCATACTGTTTTAATTATTATGGCTTTATAGTATAGTTTGAAATCTAGGCGTGTGATACCTGCATTCCCCTTCTTTTTAGTAAGGAGAGCTTTGGCTATTCAAGGGTTTTTTGTGGCTCCACATGAATTTCATCAATATTTGTTCTATTTGGGGGCCTCCCTGGTGGCGCAAGGGGTTAAATGTCAGCACTATGAAGCAATCTGCAGTTACTGCAGCACAAGTTCAATCCCTGGCCAGAGAGGTGACCCAGTGGTGCAGCAGACCTTTTCTGTCTTGCTCACTACTCCCCTCAGCAGTGTATTTCAGTTAATCTGCCTGATCTGTTCCGTACTCTGTCTCTGGTGAATCCTCTCACCACCCCCCACACAACTCTGGCCTGTACCCCAGCTCTTGTATGCATAAATAAATAAATCTTTTAAAAAACTAAATATTAAATTATAATAGAGCCTGTTCTCAGTTTTTTTCATTTGTGTTTACTTGGCATCTATAAAAATTGCACTAAAGAGGAATAGTTGAAGCTTTTGATGTGTACTGTGAGAAATGAGATTCAAACTAGTGATGAAATGAGAAACAGTAACATTTGAATTACAACATCAAAATGTAAGTAGAATATTAATAAAACAACTTCTGAAGTTTAAAATCTTCTAGAGCTATGGTATACAAAAATGGATTTTAAAACTAGTAAATCTCACATGCATAAATAAATCTTTTAAAAAAATAAAAAAATAAAAGAACACAGGAGTAAATGCCTCCACGCAGCCTTGAAGACCAGGCATTCCTGATTTGGAAGAAGATAAGCTAAATTCTAAAGAAGACACAAAAACCAGCTCATGTCAGAAAAATCTGTATCTACAAATACAGCCCTTGCTCATGACACCCTTCTGTAATATTTTGATATTGAGAAAAACACTAACATGATCATCCAAGATGGTATCAATTTGATAAATTTCAGCAAACTCCCCCCAAAGCTGGGCTTTTAAAAAAGTTTTTGATCTTTATGGTACAGTACAAATTGTGTTTGCTAAGCTGTTACAATTTTCAGACTCTATCAAAATCCAAAACCACAGATGGATGATCTTGTTATATTCCAGTAAATTCTCCAGTGAATCTGAGAAGATGAACATGACAAACGTCACTCTCTATTAAGAACCGCATTTTATCTCTTTAATAAAAGAGAAAAGAAATGAAATCCACACAAATACATCAAGTTTCAAACAAGATTTGAACAGCACCTCCCCGGGCCATGAGGAGATTGGGGAGCAGAGGTTTAATATTCTGAAAAAGTCATTTTGCTAGGTTCTACTGACAGTTCTTCTAACAGTTAACGTGAGACTCTAAAAGTTTTTTAACAAATAATAGAGCAGGGCCTCCCCAGTGGCGCAGCGGTTGAGCGCTGGGTTGCGAAGCTGCCCGCAGCCTCTGCGGCGCCGGTTCGATCCCCGGCTGCTCCCCGGCCACCGGAGGAGGGTCCCACAAGGCGCGCAGACCTCTCCTGCCGCCCGCTGCTCCCCTCAGCAGTGTACTTCGGTCCTTCTGCCTGCTCTGTTCCCCGCTCTGGCTCTGGTGAATTCTCTCGCCCTCCCGCGCTTCTGACTGTACCCAGTGCATGTGTAAACAAAACAAACAAATAAATAAATAAATAAAACATGCCTCTATTAAAAAAAAAAAAAAAAAAACAAATAATAGAGCAATGGGTATATTTAGGTTGGATTTATTTTTGCCTCTGTCTTTCAGTTGTTATTATGGGGCATCTTTATATGTACTGTCCCCCACTCAACCAAAATACGGACACGTGCCCTTTGGGACTGTGCTGACCAGGCCAGATATGCCCGCAGAGACAGAGAGGGAGTAATAGCAAGCTCCCATTTATGAAGCTAACCAGAAAGACAGCTATCTGCTGCCTGGCCAGGGCTCACTGAGGACATAGCAGAAAGCTGGGGCTCCCATCCAATGGTGGCAGGAACACCTCTCACACCCACTAAGGAAAGGGAGCTACAGCTTTCTGAGTGGCTAGCACAGGTTAGGTTCTGTTTGGGGGGATCCACCTAGATTTGCATTTCATCTTCCTAACAATAAAATGGGAGAAATAAAAGATGAGGTATTTCTGTAATTTGGACAAGGTTGAAGCTAACTGACAGAGCTGAAATTCTGATGGTTTGTGGTCGGTCCTACTCCAAGCCTTTGCTTGCCCACTTTGTTACCTCATTTTATCCCACTGCAAACAAGATTCCCCAAAGGGCAAGATTCCATATAGCTGAGGTGGTGAGCTCTCACTGGCCAGAAACCCTGAACCATCTTGGTTAAAATACTTCTAGGCTGTTGGTTTGTACCTTTAATCTTTGAAAACAGAAGGAGGGCCTCCCTGGAGCACAGCACTATGAAGCAATCCGCAGTCTCTGTGGCACGAGTTCGATCCCTGTCCAGCCAGGGAGCAACCCATATGGCGCAGCAGACCTCTCCTGTCTCGCCCACTGCTCCCCTGAGCAGGGTATTTCACTCAGTCTGCCTGTTCTGTTCCCCACTCTGTCTCTGGTGAGTCCTCTCATCCCCACCCCCCAACCCCCGCATTTCTGGCCTGTACCCCAGCTCTTGTATGCATAAATAAACGAATCTTTAAAAAAAATTAAAAAGAAACCAAAACAGAAGGAATTGTTGCCACCTGTGAGAGGACAAGGTCCCCCTGAAGTGTACAGTACAGACGCTCTGTCAGAACTTTCTATTCCCAACTCCCTTCTAATGGTTTGGGTTTTTTCAAACCAATGTTTTATTGGACTTGTTTCTCTACATTTTTCTCTTAAGAAAAACAACCCTGGATAGACTCGCCCTAGAACCACACCTACTCTCGTAGCAGCTTCTAGTTACTGCCTAACAGTCCCAGGACCACTCTGATCGTCCCCAAAACTCCCGACTTATAATGCAACTTAATAATGACTTATAATGCAATGAATCCACCTCATTCCCTCTCAGCAACCTGAAAGCATCCTCAATTCTCCCTCTCCTTTGCACCACACCAGCTAGTGATGGCTTCTTGCTGACCCGGACTCAAAGCCAATCTCAGCCGCTCAGCCCCATTCCCAGGCTGACATCTTAACTTGAGCTGTACGAGCCTCACCTGGATGTCAGCAGCAGCCTCCCGCCTTGTCCCTCAGCCAAAAGTCTCTCCAAACCACTCTCCACACTCCAAAGACAGTGTGATCTTTCCAAATTTGTCCACTACATTTGTACTTCAGCTTCGGAATTATTCAACAGTTTCTTCATTTGAATTAAAGATAAAGATACAAGATCCTTAGCATGGCCACCAAGACCAGGGCCCTGACTACCTGGGACATAAGGGACACCCTGAAACAAGACCTGAGGGTTTCCAAGGCACCATGCTCCGTGGCTTCCACAAACGTGTCTGCCAAGCCCACCTCAATGCACTCTCTTGTAGACCTCGCCTTCCCGAATTCTCCTGACCAGGTTTTGTGCATTTTCTCCCCTCACTAACACCCCACACTCACTGCTCAGCACATGCGCTCAGTGGGCTGGTCCACTTCATCTCCCCATTACAGACTGGAAGCTTCAGGAGGGTAGGTCTCCCCCAAAAGTCTACAAAGCTTAGTTCCTTAATACAGGCAGACGGGGTTAGAAGTCAAACACCATTGAAGAGCATACCCCCTCACTAACAGGGAGCCAAGCAAGGCCGCATGCCCTTTGCTGACTGGCGGGAAAGAGTGATCTCTGGAAGTTCAGCTCTGGGAAGGTTGCCCAAACGTGGCTTTGGGGCTTGAAAGTCACATTTCTAAATAATCAGCTCTATGTTTCCACAGGGATGACTGGGCAGTGCACATTTGAGAAAAGAGACTCACCTCTAAGTGAGGCACTCAAGACAAAGGTCTCTATGAAAGGAAATGATTTCAGCTTGCAAATATCTTTGTTCATCCTCCCTGATATTCTGGGGCCCCAGGGAAACCTAACTGTTTTCCGTGCACCAAAATAAACATATGCTAGGGTGTGTTCTGTCCTCAGTTGCTTTTGGAAACTGACTTCTTAGGATAGACTATTTTCTTTTAAGCATCCCACTTACTGCAAGACTTCAGCGGGACACTTAGCCAGGTCATTAACTCCCTTAACTT